GGATAATAAGTGTTAAGTGCTCAGTCCAGCCAGCACATAGACACAATTCTTTACCATTGTCATCGTTGTCATCACCATCATCATATCATTGTCATGATTATCACCATTTCACCTTCCTTATTATCATTGCCATCATCACCATCATCACCATCATCATCACCATCATCACCATCACCATCACCACCATCACCACCATCACCATCACCACCATCACCATCATCATCATCACTGTCACCATCATCACCACCATCACCATCATCACCGTCAATATCACCATCACCACCACCATCATATTACCATCTCCATCTCCATCACCACCATCTCCATCTCCATCACCACCATCACCATCACCATCATCACTATCACCACCACCACCATCACCATCATCACTATCACCACCATCACCACCGTCACCACCATCACCATCATCATCATCACTGTCACCATCATCAGCACCATCACCACCATCACCATCATCATCATCACTGTCACCATCATCAGCACCATCACCGTCACCACCATCACCACCATCATCATCCTCACCACCATCACCATCTCATCATCATCCCATGACATGACCATGACCATCATCACATCTGTCATCACCATCACCATCATCACTATCACCACCATCACCATCACCATCATCACCACCATCACCACCATCACCACCATCATCATCCTCACCACCATCACCATCTCATCATCATCCCATGACATGACCATGACCATCATCACATCTGTCATCACCATCACCATCATCACAACCGTCATCATCGTCACCGTCATTGCCATTCCCTTCACCACCATCACAGCCTTTCCTTCTTGCTCACCCATCCAAATCTCTTCTACATTGTCTTCCTCTTCCTCTTCCTCCCTCCCTCCACTTCTCTTTTCACCATCTTCATCTTGAAATTGAATGCCTGATGACAGTGCTCTCTGGGATTCTGGAAGGTTCTAGTTCTCGATAAGTAAGAAGTGAAATCAGCCTCCCATTTCCCAAAGCTTTTTCACTCTCAGTTTCAAACCATCTGTCCCATCGACAGAACACACGTCCCGACTCTTGGCTCAGAGTGAGCTTCCTCTCCTGGCACTAGAAAAGCTGATCCTGTCCTCCTCCCGCTGTCCTGCTGTCACAGTGGGACCCCACGCCTGGACCACAGCTGGCTGCACCAGGAGTGGAGGCCTGGCCCCAGCTGACCCCGGCCGAGCCTCTTCCAGGAGTCAGGAATCAGGCAAGGGGCAGTCAGGATGGAGAGAGCACACAGTGGTTGGAGCAGAGAGAGCCGGTCCCGGAGGACAGAGACCTAGGGCAGCCTGGCAGAGGAGAGGCTGAGGGGCCAGGAAGGGAGACTTGGTCCTGATGCACCTGCCAGCCAGGAGAAGGGTGCGTACCAGAAACCCAGCCAGCTGGGACGCTGACCTGGACGTCCAGGCCCCAGAACCGTGGGCAGTGAATGTCTGCCGTTCAAACCCGGCTTTGTGGAGGTGCGGCGGCAGCCCTGGCAGACCAGCATACAGGGCTTCCAAATGCTCTCCGAAAAGAGCAAGAGGTAAGTAGGTAAGTGATTGGGCCTATGGCTCTATGGCCCCTCTCAACGGTCACCTCTGCTGTCAGAGTGAGACCCACAGCCGTGAGAAGGGCATAGCCACGCTCCAGCCAAGCTTCACTGGTACACACAGGCAGGGGCCCGATCTGCTGTCCAGGCTGCAGTTTGCGATCCCTGGCTTAAAGCCACAACAAACATTTATTTTGTTCAGAAACTTCAGTTGTGACAGGTGTGGTGGGGGCTGCTTCGTGGCTTAGCTGGAGTGCTGGCCGGGGCTGGAGGACTGCCCAAGGCAGTGCCCATACTTGGTGCATCCAGCTGTGGGCTGGAGCTGCCTTCTCTCCCTGTGGGCCTGTCCATGGCTGCTTGGGCTTCCTTTCACCATGCGGACTCTTCTAAGTTCAAGTGTCCCAGGAGCGCGAGATAGAGGCTGTCACTGCTCATGAGTTACTATTTGAAGTCACACTGTGCCACCTCTGCCCTCCTCACAGCCAGCCCAGATTCGCCTGGTGGTGGAATGAGTGTCAACACCACACTGCAGGAGGTCCTGCCTGGTAGACACAGTGCAGACAGAAAGGCCTTGGGTGACTGCAGACGGTGGCTAAGTTCTTTGAGCAGGGGACTTTACATAGAAAAGCTAGGAAGCCTCTCTGGGGCTGCGTCCAGAAAGCTGAGGCCAGAGAGGCGCGGTGGGGACCCCGGCAGCTACGTCCTCTGCATCGCCATCCACTGGGGGCACTTTTCCCAGCCAGGTGGGTCCATCTGGGCCTAGGAAAGGAGACTGTAGTCCCTATCACTTGTGTGAGGTGCTGCCGCCAGGCCGTCACCTGGCCCAGGCGCGGAGCCCGCGGAGCCCTGCGTGGGGCGTGGGGCGTAGTTTTTCTTGCTCCCGACTGTTTTCCGGTTGCTGGGTGGTTCCGGGTTTACAGCTTCTGAGAGTTTCCTCCAGAATGAGATCAATACTGCCAGCCCTGTTTTATGGGAGAAGGATTTCCAGATTGCACAAGTGCCCCTCAGATCTGCATTCCAGAGAATGGGGCCCGCCACGCTGGGGTTCCTCTGACCAGAGGGGATGAGGGAGGGTCTTTGGAGGTGGGGCGGGATGGGGACTGCAAGGGGGGAGCGTGCACACCGCCCGTGGGTGGAAGGCGCTGGCCAGTACTTGCTTGGAACTGATTGCCACTTCCCAATGGGATCTCAGTTGCAATCCACGGCTGTGTGAGGAAAGGCTGTCGCATCAGCCAAAAAGGTTGGAGATGAAATGGAAGGAAGGAAATGCAGAGTGAACTGAGAAAGATGGAAGCCTTTATCTCAACAGGGCCTGGGGAGCAGGCTGAGGCTGGGCACCCCTGGAGGAATCCTCCACCTCCTAGCAACAACAGCACCCTGGTCCCCCAGGCTTCCTGGGTGCCCATAGCCTGCTCCTTGAACTGTCACGGCAACCCTGAGGGAATCCGTATTATCACCATTTTACAGACAAGAAAACTGAGCTCAGAGATGTTAAGTGACTGTCCAAAGCCACACAGCTGGAGGGTCCTGAGATCAGGACTCAAACCTAAATTTTGCTAGGACAAGTATTTAGCCTGTTGCCCACAGAGTCACAACATATAATTTTTAATTAGCACCAAACAGCCCTGAAATACTATTCCATACCCATTTAGATAGATAAAGTAAGCTGAAACAAAATAAGAGATAATCTCCGACGTCAGCCAGTAAAGTGCAGAACTGGACAGTTACACCGTGGGTGAGAGGTAAAGGTTCTGGGTGGACTGGGGAGCAGTCTGGTCACTTCCAATAAGATCCAAGGGCACAGGACCCAATATGTCTGCCTACCAGCACTTAGAGGAACTCCTGAGAACCAGAAGAGTCAGCTAGAAAGTGCGTAAATGGCAGAAGTGAGTGCTCCTCACACAGCCCCAGCCAGGGAGGGAGGCCCTGTTCCCGCCTGCCTGGTCTTTAGGGAGGGGCTCTGTACCAGGACTAGAGGCCGAGGTGGAAGTCTAGGGGCTGGTTTTCTCCAAAGCTTCTTAACCAAAGGTGATGCCCCCCATTGGGAAGCTGGGTGCAGGGTCCCTGGCTAAAGAGGCTTGGAACAGCCTCCTCTCCTGCTCTGGGTCTCAGGGTCCACTGCCCGGTCAGGGAGCCCGGGTTGGCCTGACTCACCTGAGGCTGCCCAACCTTAGCGCCTCTGCTTCTGCAGCCCACTGCACCCACCGCTGCCATTTGCCTTGCCCTTACTAGCAGAGCTGGGGACCTGGGCTCCTGCCTGCGAATTCATGGTCCAGGAAATGTGCTTTAAATCCGCCCCAGGAAGCTCAGATCCAAGAATCAGGCACCATCTCTCGGTGGGGGGAGCCAGTGGAGAGCCAGAGTAGAGAGCCAGAGTGGAGACCCAGGGAGCCTCCCCTAAGCGCTCGGCCCTGGGGTGGGGGGTACCTGTGGCAAGGGCGCACGGGATTTGGGTGATTCTGCTCCAAAACTGCTCGTGTGGCCCGACTTTCACTAACTCGTGGGGGGAAGGAGCCCACCAAGTGCACGTTTTCTGGAGGTCATCGCGCGCCCCTCGCCTACACTGGACCGCAGCGGCTGGAAGGAAAAGGGCAGGATTGTTTGCCACAGGCAAAAGCCACCTGTGGTTCGCCGCGAGCCTTGCGGGTCCGAGTGGCGGATCGCGGCACCCACGCGCGCCGGGCTCGGGCGCCTGGCGGTGGCAGGGCCCGCTGCGCCCGACTCGGGCGGTGGCCGAGGGCGCCGGTGCCGGGCGCCTTCCCGTCAC